ATATATATATATATATATATATATATATATATGTGTGTGTGTGTGTGTGTGTGTGTGTATGCATGACAGAAAGAGAGATTAGTGACAACAAACATTTGAACTTTATTTAGGAGGTTTTAGAGATTACACAAATGAAATTTGAGATTTGGTAGATGAAGAAAAGTATTTTTAATCTTAACATGAAAATCATTTTGCACACGGACTGGTAAAAAAATGATTTTTTTGTATGTGAAAGACTTATAATGTTTACTGAAAGACTGCCAAATTTTGTGAAGATATACTTACTGTATTAAAAGTTAATAGTATCAAACTATAAAGAGTACAAAGAGGTCACGTGGTCGATCAAATTGACAGAGCCTATGTTGAGAGAGTTAGTGACAAATGAAATGAACTAAACAGGGCCCATCTGATTGGGATTTGGGGCCTTCTTGAATCGGGGGCCCGACTGCCTCGCACCCGCTGCACCTACCTAAGGGCCGGCCCTATGTACAATCCCGTGTGTGTTAGTTTATGATACTTTCCTATTTTTAAATTATCACTAAAGTTATTAATATTTAGATATAAAAAATATTAATTTGGATCCTTCTATTCTTCAATTGCAAACTTAATAAAAGGTGTCATTTGCTTAGATACTCGAAGAATAATCTCACGTGTTATTTTTCCTTATACATAACATTGATATCCTTTATACACCTATAGTATCTGAGAGGTGTGTAATTATCTTCTTATCTCCTGCTGAGTTAGCGATAAGTTTCCAGACTTATAATGCTAAAATCCTAGGTTCGATTCCTCGCCACGGATAGCGCGCAGCTTAGCCCATTTTATTGCTTTGTGCTAAGAAAGCTAACAACAACATTCTAAGCGAACTGAAAGTTTTATATAAACATTGTATCATGTCTACTTTTATATTCTATTTCATTGTTCAAAACTTCTGAAGGGATTTTATAATAGTGTTTACTTTTGTTTATATTTGTGTTATATGTCTTAAATAAAAAAAAATGGTATCAGTTTCAATCTCTTTCATTCATTTAAACACACAAGGTGTAGCCCATTCTTTTGTATTTTAATATAATGTTTCCATATTTCTGAAAATTTTAAAACTATAAGTATTCTTTAAGATTGTTTTAAATTACCTATTTTAATTATAAATATAAAAAATCAAGGAAAGACAGTATAATACTATTTGTATTAAATGACATACATTCGCTGCGTTAAATATATGTTTTGTTCTTTTATATCTATTATATTAAATTCCGTCCCCAGCTTCCAATTTTGATAATAACGGATTTCCAAATGCCAGTCGGTGAATGCGAAAGATAAATATCTGACAATAATTAATCCTTAAAGTTATTCTTAGAGTATTAACTATATACTCTTTTGTCGTTTTATGTATTTAGATCAGGTTGTCTGTTCTCTCTCTCTCTCAAAGTACATTGTAGCCCAGATTTTAGTAGAAACGGAATAAATAGTTGCCCTGAACAATCGTTATTCAAATTATTAAAGGTTAGGGTGACATATGCAGATCTGTGATATCCTCTGATTATGCTATTGCTTGTTGTATGTGAGTAAGTTTCAGACAAACATATTTGATCTTTTGGAAAGTTTTTACTAACGGACATCTTACCTTGAAGGCAAGGCATGGCTAGGTGGTTAGGGCGCTCGACTCGCAATCTGCGGGTCGCGGGTTCGAATCCCAGTCCCCCCAAACATGCTCGCCCTTTCAGCCTTGGTGGTGTTATAATGTGACGGTCAATCTCACTATTCGTTAGTAAAAGAGTAGCTCAAGAGTTGGCGGTGGGTGGTGAAGACTAGCTGACTTCCCTCTAGTCTTACACTGCTAAATTAGAGACGGCTAGCGCAGATAGCCCTCGTGTAGCTTTGCGCGAAATTAAAACAAGCTTACCTTGAAAATCATAATAACAATGCCTTTCAAATAGTTGTTGATCGCTATTGCAGTAATAAACATTTTATTGGAACAAAATAAATACAACAATAAAACGTCAGAATCATAAATGAGAACAATATATTTCATTTATGTTACCTTAGTTATAATAATGTTTCGACAACAACTGAACATTTTTTTCTTTATTAAGAAACAAAACTTTTTATGTTTATTAATAATAACGCTCCTAGAATTAAAAACATGTATACTTTTCTTTCACTCTATAGAGGCCCCCAGTGGCCCAGCGGTATGTCTGCGAACCTACAACGCTAGAATCCGGGTTTCGATACCTGTGGTCGGCAGAGCACGCATAGCCCATTGTGTAGCTTTGTGCTTAACTTCAAACAAACAAACTCTATAGAGACTTTGGTTTGAATGTGAATAACTAGTTGTTACATTCGTTTAAACATTCAAGGTGTAGCCCATTCTTTTGTATTTTAAGATAATTTTTTTCATATTTCTGATACTTTGATACTCTTTTTCTTCTACGGCCATGCCATAGATACCAACTGGCATTTATTTAAATATGAATGTAATACAAAAGAACGTAAAATATAAGCTCTATTTGCATTAAACTTAATCATTTCCGAATTATCTCATAGACATAAAACAAATAAAACGATATTTCCTTGCTGCTGCTACAAGCATCGCCCTATTGACACAACAGTTTCTCAATTAAACTCTTATCTTCTATATACATATATATAAATGTACGATTTACTGAACATCTTCTTTCTTATAATGTACTACATAATACGTTATGTATGGGTAACATGTTTTCTCTCAATTATATTTACTAGATCTATAGAGGAGTTGAAACATTTTACAGTTTTAGAAGTGCTAACTCTAGACAACAATGAACTCGATGACAAAACCCAATTTGTGAGAAACACCCGTTTACAAGAATTGTCACTGAATAAGAACAAGGTAATTAAAATATCCTTGTTTTTTATGAGAAGTGCTTGAAATTCTATTTTTATGTATTTTGTCTTTCTCGGGTTATATATTTCAAATAGATGCAGTTTTTAATACGTAAGGTTTGACAAAAAAAAATTAATAACAGCTAATACTCATTAGAATGGCTTAATAGTCATATATTTTAATCATAGTAATATCATTTTAGAGATTAAAGCATTCTATTTTTCTCAATGATAGTTAAGTTACAAAACTTTCGTCCACGGTATGGAATTAAGATTATGTAAACAATAACTCACTTTGTAGTTCATTTACCCATGTTTCTTATTACTTCTATTTAGTTCGCAGATCTGTACAGGTTAATGAACCAATTATCGAGCTGTTATCCGAATCTGCAGTACCTTAGTCTTCTCGATAATCCAGCATATCTAAATAAGGACAAAGACGACTATCAGAAATACAGGTGCTTTACAATGCCATGAGCAAATAGGTTAAAGGACAAATAAAAACAGTAAAAAATACGAGGTATTCAAGATAAAAGTGTGCATTTTTTCATTGCCTTTACGACAGTTTTATTTTGGTCTAATAATAACTTGTCATCTACTACAGACTAGAGCCACAATATCGATTAGTTAAGTGCAGTGACTATATAACAACTAAAAAAGCAAATAAATTTTACTCTGTTGTAATTACGTCACCAATATCGTAGACTATACATAATTTAATTATGTCTTTTTTCATTTTACTTTGAAATATATCCTATTTGTATTGACATGTTTTACGTCAGTATCAATATAGGTCATTAGAGTCATTAAAAGTTAAAATAAAACATTATTCTTAAAATATGTCACGCCAGTATATTATGCAGATATACAAAGATTGGAGTGAGGTTATTCAGTATTGAATCACTGTAATACAACCCAAAAGATAGAAGCTGTCTATTAAATCTAAATAACTGAATATGTTTTATTTCAATTCGTGTAATGCATGTATCCTTCCTTCATCGCATTTGATATAAGGACACGTGAACCACAGTATTTTCCTACACAAAGACCTTTTTTGTTCCAATGATTTAATACATCATACTTCAGAAATCAGATTGTATGAAAATAACACAAGATAAGAGGTTAAGTATTGCAATATAAATACTGGTTTTGTTCTGCTTTTCACCATTCATTGAATAGGTATTACGTCATCCACAAATTTCCCAAGCTTAAGTTCCTGGACTCCACCCGTGTAACTACTCAGGAGAGGATAAAGGCCAAGAAAATCAGTGCATTTGTAAGCGTTTTTGGGCTTAACAGGAACATTGTTTATATGAATAAGGTACACCAGTTCCTCTGCTATAAAACACAATTAACGAAATAAATGAAATTTTTATAATGTATAACAATTTCTTTAAATTATAGAGATGAGATTTCACCCTTCATAAACTTGTTGATAATGCTTGATATTTGTGGATAAAATAGCTAATTTATTGGTTTGGTTCTTGTAGTGGTTTCGGATGGAATAATTCACTTAAATTAGTAGTGGCCATGCAGTAACCATAAAACATTTGATTACCCCGAAATACCTTCATTACCACGTTTCTTTAAGTATTCGATTTTAATATAGGATTGAATTAATTTTAAAACCTTTAAAACCCAAGCAAACAAACTTAATATACTAGTTTTTGAATCTTATATCAACACGTGTAAACAATGTGGCTACAATATTTGGTAACAGCGAAATATCCAAAATTTTTTAATCATGATTTCAAATTCCTAAAATTGTAACACTTGTGATGGCATAGGAAATTTAATAGCGCAAGTTTATAATAAGGATAAATTTAGTGACCATAATAATCTAAGCAGGTCAGAAATTCTAATAAAAACTTAGATAAAATACACTCTCGGCAAAGTATTAGATACGTAATATTGTTACAATATAGACGTAATTTTGTGGAAAGCATAAAGGTATTGATAAGTACTTGAAATATCTTCTTACGTTAGTAAACAGATAAGGATATTGACAATAAGAAAAATACTTTTAGTTGAGAAAGTAGTAACATGCGTACACGTTTATATCGAAGTAAGCATCCGTGCATAAAACACAATCCATAGCTTAAATGAACTATATGTAAAGGCCTGACAACTATGTTTACACCTTTCCAGTTGACGCCTAAAAACAGTGGTATACAATCTAAGAAGCTACAACTTTCGTCATTTCAATAAACAACTGATGGTAAGTAGTGTTGAATGCATAACAATTAACATGTTAATTGCAGTATTTAGTTCAAGAACATTTTAGTTCTATGCCTAAGTATTCTCATATTAATCAACTAAAATTCTCGTTATTTTTCTTAAACGGACTACGCTATTTTACCCTTTTATTCGTTAAGATACTTTGATGTTTATATTAAAGTTTTCAAATATATTTAATTTCACCGTGCTAGGTTAAACTAAGTAAATGGTAATTCATCTTTTTGCTAATGTGTAACTGGTGCAATAAGCAAAGTAAGAGCAATTAAGAAGTATTAGATACAATAATATAAACACGAAAATTGTTTGATTTCATAAAAAAATAATTCCATAGAACATATGTTATGCACAAAGAATACATAAAATGTAGATGTTTATCTTTTCATGTAATTGCATCTGTGCTGTTCATTTTAATTGAACACCTGCCACACTTGCTAGCATAGCATCGTTTAGTACTAAGTCTAGGATGGTCAACAGGAGTGGTCATTCTGGAAACCGGTGATATAGGATTATTTCGATAGGTCTTGATAGATGAAGTTCGGCACAACCTTCTACAACGAAAAAAAAAACACAACCAAGTATTAATGAAAATATGATATGATGAAATCTATATAGATTAACTATGATGGTAGAATACAGGGCATTATACCATCCTTCTTATATTTACTCTTCATTACAGAAATATCATTTTTTATTTGAGAATCACTAGGGAAATCATCATATAATGCATCGTGCATCTGCTTCAACTTCAACACTGCATCTTTGGGCTTTACTGTGCCATTTAACATAATATTGAAACTAATGATTTCTTATATATGGTTCCAATCCACCTTTTTTGAAGATAACGATATTATTCTCATAGTTTTTTTTTTTTTGCTTGTTTGTTTGTTTCGATGTCAACGTAGTAAACAACTGACGAGTTTCCAATTCAGCTAGTATGTCAAATCCATTGGGATATCTCCAAATAAGTTCTTTCCTCATCCGACTTCGACCCACGGCTTAACTTAATCGCTACACTAAAACCATCACATTCACAACCACATCAAGGACATTTCAAGCATGTTTCAATGATACATCATTTAACTTTACATTTACAAGTTAACTTCTAAATGTTGGCTCATGGTCTTGGTCAGGTCACGGGTGTGGTTCAGCGACTTATACCTCGGAAATAGTGCCAAACGTATTCTTTTTGTCTAATCAAAACTTTTCGAAATGACTATTCATTTTTTATCCACATCAAGATGCCGGGCTGTCTCGTATGGCAGGCGTTAATATTACCTTATACAAAGGTAGTTTCTCATTTTGTTAATAAGTAAAACGAAACAATATGAAATAGACATTAATTTTTAGTGATTGCTCTCTAGAAAATGCAAACGAAAGTCAAAATTATAGGGTATCTGTAATGTCAATACAAAATAATATAGTTATAATGTATTTTAAACTAACAATACGTAAAAAAAGACGTATTTTTCACAGAAATTAGTTAATTTATTTGAAGTTAGTGCACAAAGTATATACAATGGGCTATCTGTGATCTGTCCACCACGGGTATCGAAAACCGGTTTCTGGTGTTGTAAGTCCGCAGACATACTGCTGAGCCAGAGGGGGAGGGCCATAATAATATGATATTAGCTTTTATTGAACATTCAATTATTGCGGGCTCGTAACAATTATGAAAATAATATTTAAATGAATAACTCCGGAATTATAATAACTTATTATTAATAACTCTAATGTGCAAGGAAAACCATAATAACCTTATTTTACACTTAATGTTCAAACCAAGACCAGTTTTGTGGGTTTGAGAAACTTTCTCCAACTAATTTTAAGTCCCCAAATAAGATTATACGTATAAGCACATAACTCAAATTTTGTGATTATAGATAATAAATTAGTTATCTATTAAGTTCAATAGAAAATACAAAAATAAAAATGTATTTTACTACATTAATGTATCACAGACACTTTGTGACTATAATTTCTGTAGTATATGCTAATAAGGATCTTTTTCTATATTTAGAATGTCATGAAAATTTAACAAATTGATCCTTAACAACGTTGTCATTTGTTAAAAGTTTTTACGAATGTAAAGGTACAGCAAATCCTGTAATTAAATTATTTGATAGCGATTCAGGTTTTCTTTTTAAAATAGCAAGTCTTGCTGATTGTTAATTATAAAGATAAAAAATAACACATTAGAAACAAACAAAACAAACAATACATATTTTGTCCAGCTTTTATTATTAAATATTCTAGAGACGGTAGTTTACCATAGGTATCCATATTTGTAGTGATCTATGGAAGAATTTTAATCAGTTATATCTTGCAAAATCCAAAGTTAAATTAATTTTGAGGTGTAGTTCAAGTGTTTGTTCATGTTTAGATGTATATCAGTTGTTAATATTATATGTTATTTTTTATTTCTTTCCTGATGTAAGTACAGCTATATTTTCTTCAACATTTGTTTGTTTATGTTTAGATGTTTATCAGTTGTTAATATTTTATGTTATTTTTTATTTCCTTCCTGATTCAAGTACATCTATATTTTCTTCAACATATGTTTGTTTGTTTATTTCAGGATATTCGCGCCAAGCTACTCAAGGACTGTATGCACCGTCGTTTCTAATTTGAACTGATGGACTAGAGGAAAGTCATCTAATGAACAACACCCACCGTTAACCATTGGGCTACTCTTGTCAGACCGAATAGTGGGATTTGGCCGTCACTCTTATAAAGCAGTTGTATGGCCTGGCCCCAAATTTCGGGTAATGGGACGCGAACGCTGAAGCCGCAGATCCGTAGCCAGACATTGTAATCACTTAGCCACATTCTGCCCAATGAGTAATACTTGTTCTTTATGTTCCTGTGTTATATGTTGTTACACATTTTTAAAATGTATCTTGATATTAAAGTAATTGCATGTACTTGTTGATCTGAGGTCACCAGAAGTTGTTATTAAAGCTTATCGTTTTAAACTTTTCAGTAAGGTTATAGATGATCATTTTAAAACTTTTTTAGACGAGAGGCATGCAAGAAATATTTTATCAAACTGAAATATATTAATGTTAATGATGCTATAGTTGGAAAATGAGAAACAATCGAATGTATAAGTGATCTGATTTCTCTATAGAGTAATTACCGAAATATTTCTTTGCCACAGCTAGTTTTGGTGCCAGACTTTAAAACTGCTCATAATATTTGTTCAAAAGTAGATGTAAACAAAGTTTTGTTGTGTATACATCTGAATGAGGTGGCCTTAATTTATAATTGATGAAACTTTGTTAGAAATATTAGTAATAGCTGTTTACTATCTTATTCTGTTTTTAACATAAAATTTACTGCGAAATGAACTCTTATCTCATTGAGTTTTCAATCTGTTTACTCATCTCTCTGTGTGTATTAATATACGTCTATGCAGTTACTTACGACAGTACGTATTGATATGTCTTCTTTTTAGAACTATAAACAATATAAAACAAGAAAGGTAATAACTGCCTATCTAAAAATATAAAATCAAAATGAACCACTTAGTATTTGCAATAGAACATCATCTATAAGTAAAGATTGTAAGATTTTAATAAATAAAATTAATGTTTTTAATACGTAGCCAGTTTTGGCTTTCAGTAAGCTTGTCTATTTCTCAAACATCCAGTTAAGTATTTTGTAAAGATGACAGAAAAAATACGAAAGAGAAACAGCTGATGCCACTATAATATAATGAATGTTTCCAAAGCTGTAAGTCAATTAGAAACTTAAAAAAATGGCATTTCGCCTTTTTATAATATCATGTACACAGAATATAATATTTTCTTTAATAAAGAGAGAACTCACTTCTTAATGTTTGACAATTTTATTATTACTAAAGTGTAAAATCATGTTTGAATAAAATAATTAGGATATAGGAATGGGAGCAGCAAAAACTAAGGAAACAAGGTACGTGTGGGAAGGATAACATTACAACACTCGATAGTTTTTGACACAGTGCAACATCAAATTTGGTGTGACCATCGTTCCTTCCATACCTACTTAGTGGGCTTTTTGTAACTTAGTAATTGTTTAAACTAAATGAAAGGTTTATATAGCCAAATTTCTCTATTGTAAACCTTTTTCAGCAACCAAGTACAGACACATGTATGTAATCAAATTAGTGACCCTAACGAAATGCATGACATAATTAGGGAGTGTGTGGTGTCGGAAGTGACACAGGAAGCTACTATAGTTATACACTACTTATGGAAAACATTATAGGTATCTGACTTAAGGGGCAGACCAAAAGAATAGTATTAATTAAAACCGCTGTTTTTTGTATTTTTTTTAATTTGTTTCTTAAGTAAAACACAAATTAAGAATGGGCGGAACGATGGCCACTCCCATTTTGAAGTTGCAACATGTCAAAAACCTACAAATCTTGTAATGTTATTCCACCCATTCCTACCTTGTTTCCTTACTTTTGGTGCTCTCATTCCTACTTCTTAATTTGTTTATTATAAATTTTTTTACACATGTCTCATAGCTTTTTTTGTACTAACTCTCTAGAGTGAATGGGCTCTAAGCATATCCTTCTAGTAGCTTTTCTTTGAGTTATCTCTCAACATTTCCTGGCTTTTGCTGATATTTTTGCTATAGTTTTATTGCATCTAGCCAGGGTGGCAGCCTTTCCTTTGGCTGGATTAATGGCTAAGACTTGTTCCGCATATTCAGTATTGCTGTTTCTAGCGTATCTCTATTGTTGCAGTAATGCTCTCTTAGCTGGGACAGACTTTTTAAGGTTATCAACAAAAGATTTTAGTTAGAACCTTGATCTAGAGAATTTACACGGTTTTTTGTTTTTTATTTTATCTAGCTGATGCAACTGCAGGCTGATCACAAAGCACGTGCTCATAAACAATCTTGCATCCGCCCGTGATAAGAGAGCGGGTTGTTACTTAGCAACTCATAGAGTGTGCTCGTAATAATAAAATATGGCTGACAACTAGTACATTGTTAGCTCGCTAGTAATGTTGCAAAATGGTTATTGTTATTACTTGTTATTGCCGAGGTTATAATTAAAACAAACAAAATGCTTTTAACCAAGGTAGCGTCATTCAATAATGTGCATTTAGATTTGCATAAGGTGAAAGCAGGAGAGAGCTATGCCTTTCCAACAAACGTTAGTCAATCAGTCAGTCATATTGACAAATGTGTGGTTTGGGGAAATTTTTGTTTTTATTCTACCGACTTTTTCAAGTGCTTTGGTGGCTTGTTACTCTACAGTTGGTTTGTTCACTACTCAACAGTATGTGTGAAGTACTTATAAAGTTTTACTTACACGCTGTTTGCAGTGTGTTTGAGATTTTAATTTGTATTGAACATTTTGAACATCTGACCCATTTCTACTATAAGTAGTACCGTACTATTGATAGTGTTCATTTTTTATGTCATGACTAAATCTAGAACATTTCAATTACGTAAAAGTGGCTTAAAATAGCTAAAACTGTTGTCTTGTGGAATAGATGCGCAATGATGTTGAGTTCACGACGAAATTCGTAACAAATACAACATAATGGCATTATTTAGAAGGTTTAGTTATTCACGATTCCTTCCGTTTCGACTTCATTTTAATTTTTATTGTCAAAACATCTTGTTAAAAGGTCCATTCAGAAATAGGTTCCTTGGTCATTTCGTGTTCGACAAATGCCTTACAATACATTATACAGTGGATACGCGCGGTAGATTAAATCATGTAATATTACAGTTAGACTAAGCTACTTAAAAAGTGAAAAGAAAGGGAAAAAACAAACTTGTTTACAGAAAGTGGCAATGAATAAAACTACATTTGCAATGCGTAAAAATCAAGTTATTCCGATTATTTGAAATAAATGCTGGTGTTACTACTTTTGGAATAATCACTCATTAAAGAGTGAAACATTCTGCTTTCAGTTGTGTTTGTTTTTAATAATATAGAAGCTGAAGTACCGGTTCTTCGTCCGGGTTATGAGCTTAAAAAAAATGTGGAGGGTGGATGCTATGATAAAAAACGCACAAATCCTTACTTTGACACAATTTATTTATAACATAACACATTATTACAGTCTTCATTATTAGTTTACCAGTATTTTTGTATAAGCTTTAAGAATTCATTATGTATATACTTAAAACATAGTATACACTGTGTGATGGCCAGATGACTTTGTACAAAGAGTTAGCGGCTAAATTAGTGGCGATATAGGTGCTTTCTGTTACCCGCTTTCAACATCAACCCCTTTATGTCCTTTCACAGTGTTTCACATAATTAATTAATTGACGGTAACGGGCCAAAGTAGGATATAACTCAAGAAACGGCTCTTTATATCAGAACGCTAGAAACCGGGTTTAGATACCCGTGATAGGCATAGCACAGATCGCCCATTGTGTACCTTGTGCTTAACGTCAAACAAACAACAACAACAACTTTATATCAGCGTTATGGTGGTTGTTGTCATATCAACTTCAGTTTATGTATTATTGCAATAGTGGTGGCCATTTTTTTTTATTGTATTCCTCCAAAGAGAGTGCTAGCGCACTCTCTGAAATATATAAAATGTTTGTGTGTCCTTCCCCCCAAACTGTGTGAATGTTGTGTTATAGAAAATTTAATCTGAGTGTGTGTTTTTAGCAAAGCCACATCGAGTTATCTGCTCTTTTTTCCACTAAGGGGAATCGAGCCCCCGATTTTAGAGTTGTAAATCCGGGTGATGGAAAATTTAATTACGTTTTTTTTTGTTTGGTGTAAGAACGTGACAACATCCATGAATGTAGTTAATATTAATTTCCATCAAAGATAATAAATGCTCAATAACATCAAAACAGGGTTGTGAATCCTCATTAACATGACCTTTGTTCCAGACTATCATCATGCAAAGTTTGGTTGAGATTGGTCCAGCGACCTAGGAGTAGCTAGATAAGGGACAAACAGATAGACACGCAGATTTTTGTGTTATAAATATATATATATATATGTATATGGATGGTTAATTAGTGAACTAGAATTACCTCCGCCAAATAAAAAGAAAAATACCTGTTATACAGCAAGGTATTGCATATTGCATACAAGTGTGGAAAATTTGGAAGAATGAATGATTGAGTTGTGGAACTTAGAATGATTGAGTTGTGGAACCTGTTTTATCAAATTACGATAACATAACAAACAATACTAAAGCTTTATATATGTTAATTTAATTATATCTTCGATATGCAGCTCCAATGAAAACGTAGGAAATTTACCATCCTATATGATATTGATTTAATGACACGTAACTCATCTACCTTTTCTTTTAAACATCTTGTTATTCGTATAAATATTTTGTAAAACTAAATTATATTTAAATCGTCAAATTGGTAATTTCATTTCTGTTGAGATGATTATTGCGATAAACATCAAAAACAGCAATTTTCTTAACGTATTTATTGAAATGGGCTAATAAATATACACCTGTACAAACAAACAAGAATACAATCACATTTCTAGCGACAGCAAAGAATACCTAAACCAAACACAGTGAAAAATGTATACCCTTGATTTATATATTGCTATGTTATTTTTATAAAACTATATATTATTAAATATAAATACATTGAAAATATGTGTGTATTGTTTTATTGAACATACTTTGGAACATTAATCTTTTAATTTTAGAATATCAGGTGCTACTTACATTATTTCAAGTTGATGTTACTTCAAATTATTTAGAAATACTATTATTTGATAACCGCTAGCCAATTATTTCTAGTCTACCTAAACCAATTGTACAAAGAATGTTCGAAATAGTATGTGAAACCATTTATTAAAAAACGATCGTTGGTTAAAATTATCGAGTTATATCTAAGTTAACCAAGCAACATCTTCGTTTGATAGATATTTGAGGCTATTTAAACAAAAGTGAAAATGTAATAACAACGACGTTAGAATAATGTATACCTTCATCTCTAGAGTGTCAAAAAATATATATTTTCTTCAAAATCATCTTTAATGTATAGCTCCTACAAAAGACATTTACTAAATTTAATAGATACTTAAGATTCCATAATATACCAGAAATACACTATCAATCCTGTTTTATTTACTTTGTAATTAAAGTCATGCTAGGATAATCTGCAAAACCTTGGAAATCTTAAAGATAAATAATTAAATACCTGTATGACTAATAGCACCGTTTTATATTAAAAACCAACACCAAAAAAATGTCGTACTAAGGAATAAATTTGGTAAAATAAATTATATTTATAATTCATAAAGCAAGTGAAAATGACAAAAATTAGTAAATCTTAACAAAATATAAAGAGGCCTTTACTTAAAGATCTTATTATGCGGAAGTGTAAACGGGACACTTTTTCCCAAAGTTGTTTGTCATAGTCGTTAAACACGTTGGTGAACGTAAATAGGATTTGGCCACAAGAGTAGCCACAATCGTCTGTAGGTCATCAATATCCCCTGTAACCATTGTACCCGCCGTAAAATCCAGGACCAAGACCTCCAATGTGGCCGCCATGCCCCAGATGGCCGCCGAGAAAACCTCTATAAATGCCACCCTGACCGCCGTACCCTCCATAACCAATACCGTGTCCTCCTATACCGCCGTACCCTCCATAACCAATACCGTGTCCTCCTATACCGCCGTATCTTCCATAACCACCACCATGCCCTCCTATACCGCCATAGCTATTCTTGTTGTAACCACCTCCACCTCTTTTATAATCATGACCTCCATTGTAGTATTTTCTTCCATCATTATAGCCTTTACCGTAATAATCGTCGTATCCACCTTGACCACGCCTATGATAATCATCACCGTGTTTGTTTCCAACGTGGTAGTTATTATTTAGGTGGTTTTTGAAGTGTTTGCCAGTATTGTGATCATAGTAGTCTCGTTGATCTTTATATTTTCTTCCATAGTCCTTGTCTTCAACATCGTCGTAGTACGATTTGTCATCGTTGTACACTTCCTTGTGGAACACACTCTTGTGACCACGTTTTTTGTGGCCAGAGGACTTATAAAAATCATCTCCATATATATCTTCCCCCTTTCCATGACCTCTGTATTGATTGTCTCCGTATCTATTCCCATATTGCCCTCTATCGCTAAAATATCCTTGTTTATCTTTGCCATATTTGTCGTAATAGTGCCCCCCCTTACCATACTTGTGATTACCACCATAATCATCGTGACCTTTAATGTCTTTAACACCATGGTTATAGACGCCTCCATAATCCCCATGACCATGATCGGAACCGTGGCTTTTCTCATAACCTCCATAACCTGTCTCATCTGCCTTGTAGCCTCCGTGTCCACTTTCCTCTGCCTGTAAGTCAGCGCCAACTTCTTTCTCGATTTCCTTTGCCTCTTTTGTAGTGACAGAGGAAATCAGCAACACACCAAGTCCAACCTGTACCTGTAGAAAAAGACACAACTATACATAAGATATCCCCATACTCCTCATAGGTGTGTAACAGGACACCTATAGATGATCTCATGAATTAATTTGTTATTTAAGGTAGAATGAGAATAACACACTTTTTGACAAAGAATACTTTTGCTGGGTTTCATTCAAATGAAAATTTATGTATTCAAAACAGATATTGACTGTTTTATATTAAAGAATCATTAACAATTAAAAGAAGCTAAATATCTATTTCAAGTGAAAATACCAATTTATTTTAATGATATAGTGTATTCTGTACATTTTTACATGCTTTAGTGATTTACATTTATAAAAGTCTTTTGATAACAGAACACACTATTAGATATCACTAAATATGTAAAGTATAAATTACATACATGTTTGGAATGCCAGTTAGTCTAGGTTTGTGAATGTAGAACCTTCACAGCCATATCAGACTTGTAAAGATTTGTAAATTAAAATATTAATGGTTAATTTTTAAAAAATAATTTCAATGTTGAGTATCAGTCTGTAATATTTGAAGCACACAGAAATTAAAAATTTAAATTTAATATTCTCCTACAGGGTTATACTCACCCACAGTTGCATAGTGATGAATTGCAAATATTAATAATCAAACCTCAAAGAACACCTGTGTCTATATACATATGTATATAATATACATATGAATAGATATATCCTTTGGATTAGTTACTATAACTCGATTTGGGCACCAGAGACACAACCTCCCAGATTTCTCTCGCTTTGGTCAGGAACCTTCAACTGGTCTAATTCCAGGCCTGGTCTACCCTTAAATACATTTTCACTATCTACCCTCCGCCCGCAAGGTGAAAGGCAGACAAATTAAAAATGATACATCTGTGTCAGGCAGGTCTTAGCTCAAGGCAACCAAGTGGCATGCATTGAAAAAACAAAACAAAGAAAAACTTCCGTTTTCTAAAGAGAGAGAAGGAGAGCAGAATTTTCTAGTTTCTGTAATTACTCTGCTATGACCTGTAGAAGGCGTCAACAGTCTCAGGCTAACAGACTGAGGAGAATCGTTCAGACTAGTCACTCGACTGTAACAATGTAAAGTCTTTTTTTTTTTTTTTACTTCCACTTATCTTTCCAAGTTTTCCATTGTTGACTTTCCGGTCGCGCTAACTCTAAGCGCATTTTTGCTTACCTGTATCGTGAACTAATCAATAAAAGAGATAAAACGTTTGAAACCTACATTTCCTACTGATTTTCATGAGATCATAAGTTTTTCATATTGTTTCCAAGCTTGCAGAATTTGTTTTTCTAAACTGATTTGTTCTAGTAACAAAAAGGAATTTTAAATATATATTTATTTAAAAACACTGAACGTGTATTCATCCAAATAAACTTATATATATATGCATACGTGATCTTATAAGAATTTAGAATTTTGTTTAAGGCCAAACAATGCTCATTTCTATCTCGAATTTATCATACTAGGTAACTGACATCTAATCGTATTTCCAATCAACTCTTGATTTGACTGTTAAGAGTACATATTTATAAGTCAAAGTTTAAACCTCATGGCTGAGCATGAAGGAAAATCAGCCTGCAAATGATATACGACATACATGTATATAAATATAATAGTGCTGTCTGTTATCTGTTGTATGTTCATGTAATTACATCACAAGGTGTGGATGGACCTTCATCAAAATTGGTATGCAGTTTCATTTGATCCATGCGGGAGTACATACAAAGTTTCAGTTTTGAATTTAGCGTTTTGCGGTTTTTATGGGCGTATTAGCGTTTTCACCACTACTTCGCCCCCTGTAGATGGATCTTCACTAAATCTGATATTGATGTTCATTGGGTACATGCGGGAGTACATACAAAGTTTCAGTTTTGCATTTAGCGTTTTGCGGTTTTTATGGACGTATTAGCGTTTTCACCACTACTTCGCCTCCTGTAGATGGATCTTCACTAAATTTGATATTGATGTTCATTGGGTACATGCGGGAGTACATACAAAGTTTCAGTTTTGCATTTAGCGTTTTGCGGTTTTTATGGGCATTTTTGCGTTTTTTTACTACTACTTCGCCCCCTGTCGATGGATTTTCACTAAATTTGCCATGACGTTTTATTGGGTCCATGCGGAGATACATAGAATATTGCAGTTTCACATTTTGTGTTTTGAAGTATTTATGGGCGTTTTTGCGTTTTTTTACAATTACATATAAGGAAAGCAACGTTTCATGTTGTAAGATAACTTTTCATTAATCATGAATTTACGGGAATGGGTGTTCCAGCTAGCAATGAATAGTTTAGTAGATATATTTTAATGAGGTGTTTGTTATTGTAATATTTCACGATTAACTCTTTTTATAAATTAATTTAAAAACACTATTACTTATATAGTTTATTCGTTTACCAGAATTAAGTTTATTATTTCATTGCATCTTGTCGGTATAAACAGTACACAATGTTATTGTAATTAATTGCTTTAAGCATAGTTGAATAATCAATTAATATTAACTTCTGATCAACACAAGCTACCAAATTTGATAAAAAAACGGTAATGAGTATAGCTCAATATACAGTTCCTACGTCCTTATTTATAAATATTAGAATGCATTGTGTTATCATTTGGGTACCTTTGCTGTTGAATAATATTTTTGGTCATAAACCAAATAATATTTCACAAGGTTTTGCAAGTTAAAGAGATTTAAGTTGGTCCTAAATTTTTATAACAAGCAAAATAATTCATATAATAAAAACATAGTAATGACAAATGTCAAGTTAAAAATATTTTCTTACACATCTGTAGAGGCCAAACAAGGTTATATCTAGTAAAATTGTTGAGAATGGTGAGATATTTTAGAGCAATATAGTGAATTCAATATTTCGTGCAAACTGACATTTTGGTCTTTAGAAACTGTTTCATGCGGTTGTGTAAACAATAACAGTACGGAGCATAAATTAGAGCCGAATCAGTCATCACCACGCACTTTAAGCTCAGAACATGCTGAGTTTCATTTAGTAGAGGTATTTCATAGCTTCATAATGCTTAAAGACAAAACAGCCGTGTATAAAAAATTTAGGGTATACTTTCTGTAATATTTTGTGAAATATTAGCTGAAATAACTCCCTGAAGCTGAAGAGAAAAGTTTTTTTCAAGCTCTTGAAAATACTCAATGGGAATTGGATTCGTGTGTCTTGAAGTACTGCTCAGAGTTCCTATTTCGGCTACATCTGTTTTTCTCGATCAACACAATCCCAAACATACACAACAATATTGCAGTATGAGCTCTTTCGAGGCCACACTAACCATTTACGAGTTCCATATGCTTCGTCTCTGGAAAATGAAATGCCTCCCACTAAACAACGTCGAGAAGAAACAGTATTGTGAATGAGTTCTTGCTTATGTCGGGAAGAATCTATGACTCCATGAATAAGTATATATCATCATTTACAGTTGTGGGAATACAACTTTGTATTTGATTATACCTCTACCATGATTAACTGAAGGCTGCCTAAAATCTTCCTTTAATTTCCCACTGCTCATGCGACAAACGTACTGTTGCCTTTTGGTTCCAAAATTTAAAAAAATTGACACATCATGCCAAAGTACTTCTCCGTATACATGATGTTCATTCTTTTAGGTTTTTGCAGAATTAAGCCTCTTCTGTTTGTTGCCTATTGAGAATAAAGGTTTTATTGTTTCAATGCACCCTTTCAGCACTTCATGACACAACCTGCGTAGCACTTTGGAAAGGTTAAAATTAATGACAGTGGTTCCTTGAAGTTATCCAGCAAAGCATCTGCAGGTTTACATCTGATTCTGAGTGAAATAAGACTATGGTACTTTCCTCTAGGCAGCAATAATTTTTGAATCAGATATTCCTTGAGTAGATTTGCGCGAAATTTCAACAAACCATAAACTTGCCATCAGCGGTACTAGTTACATTGCACATATTGGTTATTTTTGGACTTCAGGTTTTAATAATATGTTTTTGAAGACATTTCTTGCTGACTGTATCCCTTTTTTAATAAAACTATTATGATCTGTCTTACATCATCAGAAATTGTGCGTCTTCGAGACATATTTTGTACTTTAAAGTAAAACAGTCATGCTAGAGCCAGAGACTGAAGAAAACTTTATCTAATTTTTACAAAAACAAATAATAAATATAAAAATAAATTCAAATGTTTTAATACTTTTACTATATACAGTTAATAAATGTGTAGAAAGCTATTTCATGTTAGATGTCAGCACAGTAGCTACAGCATTATCATATGTAAAGGCTATATGCCCCAGTTTTCAGAAAAAAAAATACTATTGTCAGTTCTCATAATCTTAAGTCTAATTTTTTAGAATTCATTTAAACAAAACACGTGAATTGAAGGCATTTAAATGAATAAAGGATGTAGATGAACATTATTACATAATTTATCTTGAACTCTTATTGCAAGGAGTCTGAATGATAGTCTCATGTTTATACCCAGTAGTGTAAATCTTATAATTTGGATAATGATGTGTTTCTTTGAGGTCTAAACTTTTGTCTCCAAGTGCACAGGTTATGCTTAACATAAAAGTTAATTTTTATGTTGAATCATTCATATAAGAAATACTGGTCTTTCTTCAAATTTCCTATTATTTTTGTGTCTGACATGGAGATTAAGAGCTTATTCTTCTTTTTGAATTACTTGATTGGAACTTATCATTAAGTAACACAAATATCAATATTTCAGACTGTGAGTTTCGTTTGAATATACTTGATTTGGTACTTTGTGAATTTACTAAAAATAATAGTAACTTACTTAGGTAAAAACAACATATGAAAGAAACATGTTGCATGAATGAGTCTTCGAAGGAAGAAACGCTATCCCCTGATGGCTCAGTGGTAAGCTTGGGGGTTTAAAATGCTAACAATTGCGGTGACAAAGCGCAAATATTCCATTGTGCAACATTTTTGCTAAAACACAAACAACTCACCTTTAACTCAGTGACACAGATAAAAAAAGTAATTTTAGTATATAACCCGATGTCTCAAATCATTATTACATGGAATTTCTTACTTAAGTTTTTACTTACCTAAAGAATAAAATACAGACAAGCGTGTACTTTTAACGATGATAAGTAATGTATACATTTTTATTTTCCTTAAAAACGTAAACGGTTTTAAACGATGTTTTAACCATATACTTTGATTGATTTTTGATTTATCAATTTTTACTTAAGCAGCTATTACCATAGTCCTGTGTGATTGAAATTGTATCTGGAACTTCTTATGATGAACATGAATAAGTTGACTTAAGGACTTTGGTATCAGGTGTGATTGTGATTATGACCTACTTTGCTATATTTTTCCAATCATATTTTAGGTATTTCATTAACATAATTATAAATACACAGTACATCGTAACGTTGAGAATATATTGAATATATTTTGTTGACAGCTGTAGCTAATAAATTCAGTCCCAACGTGAATGACTCAGTCTTCAAGCATGGAAACACTCATTAATCACGACTAAACCCAAAACTGTAACTTTAAAGATCTTTAATTGAGGATAAGAGTCAACGGTATTCAAGCTCTTTTCATGAAACGCACACACGTCCCACACCCATTATTCTTTCACACTACCAGTTCAAATTGATTGGCCTCTTAGGTGTTTTCAAGACTATTTTAATTTATTCTAACCATGACCAATAGGAAATATGACGAATGTGCACGGTGAATACTCTTAAGTGTTTAGTTGAAAACTTTAGTACGTGAATAATCAAGAATTTCAGAAGATTGGTTTTAAGTGTTTTTTTTAAATTTACGAATGCTTAAATTTATTCTATTCAAATTAAATTTTTATAGTGACGTGTTATATATCCGCCATAAACAACTCACTAAATATATACTTAAAATATTTCGTGAGTCCCCAAAGTTGCATACAATTATGAACATAACATATATTACTGAAAATATAAGCACAACTTGCAGGTAAGTGGAATATATTGTTCGATTTACAAAAGATACGAATTTCACATTTATCATGGATAAAATTGAAGGAAACTTGTATAAGCATTTAAAATATAATAAAATTATCAACGATCAACGTTATATAATACATAATTAAAATTGTATTTAAAAACCGATCAACGGTCGTAAAAAAGGCATTCTACATGTTTCAACGTCGTACACGTCATCCTTAGGAGTGTGAAAAAGAAATGCTGTGCAAGATATAAATACAAAAAAGCCATGCTCATGTGAATACTAGTTTACATACATAAAAAATATCACGCCATCTACTTACTCTCTGATTTTCTAACCTTTCATTCTTATTTAAGATATATATATATATATATACTGTGCTTCATTATTGCTATGGTTTCTATAATATTTCCAACCGTTAGATTATTCGGTTGAGCCAATATAACAGTTTTTTTTCACTGTATAGCATGACCAGTATAATTTACATGTTCAGCTAATTCAGAGTTTTCACTTTTGTTTTTAACATTTCTCTTATGTTCATTTACTCTAAATTTTAAATTTCATCTAGTTTGACCAACATTAGCACCAAATTCACATTCAATTTCATAAATACTTGCTCCCTAGTGGCACAGCGGTTTGTCTGCGGACTTACAACTCTAGAAACCGGGTTTTCAATACTCGTGGTGGGCAGAACACAGATAACCTTTTTCGCACCTTTGTGTTTAACTACTAACAAACAAGAATAAATACCCGTTTTCTCCGAGAATGAGATTTTTGTTTTGTTTTTAAAATTTACGAAAAATTGGATATGACAAACCTGAAACATATGGAAAAAACAACAGTTCTTATTTATCTGTTTTGTGAAATGTCAATTGTTGTTTTTTTTTATTTTCTCACAGCTGTATCAACAATATGAGGTGAGAAACCTCTATCTAATGCTACATATTTGATAAATAACAGTTCATTTTTTAATTATTCTGGATCATAACATAGCTATAAAGACCTGTAAACATTAGAGTAAAAAGCTGACATTTTTTGCGACACTCTTTGACATAACTTATGGTGTGGCGGCATGATAACACTATATAACTGATTTTTGTTTTTCTTAACTAATACGTCGAAAAAAGGTAAACTCTTATTTTCGTCAACTTCATCAGTTCTAGACTATTCAAATAATTAACAAAACTAGCAAGTTTTCTTTATCATGTCACCACACCACTAAATCATCATCAACATACCTAACCCATATTTCTGGTTTAAGTTTAGCATTCTGTAAAGCATCAGTTTCAAACCTGTAAATGAAAAAAATCACACAACAAGAGAAATAATGGAGAACCTATAGCTAGGCTTTCAGTTTGTTATTTTATTTAGAATTAATTCGAAATAATGTTTCTTTGGAAAACAGTTCAGCAAGTGAGAAGTCATATAACTTGTTGAAACTGCAGTTCTTAGCTAATCCGGGCACAGGAAGTTTTAATCAATATAAACAAATAAGTTTTATATGAAATTCACTTCAGTGTTAAATATTTACTCTGTGGCATCAATGCATTTCAAATATTAACCAAACATATTATTACTCATTGCCGTATTGAGAATATTGTTTGAAAAAGTGGATGATTTTTTGTTTGTTTGTAATTAAGTACAAAACTATACAAAGGGCTATCTGTGCTCTTCCCACTACGCGTATCGAAATTCGGTTTTTAGTGTTATAAGTCCGCAGACATACCGCTGTGCCACTGGGGGACGAAAAAGAAAGAGCATGTATCTTGATAGGATTCGAGCTCACGATTACGCAAACTGCAAGTCGAATGCCCTAATCACCAGGCCGTAGAATTTAAATAAATTGTCCAAGAAGCGCTGAATTAACGTTAAAAATTGTGTGAAAAAAAACTCAAAAAACTCAAACTTTTATTTACATTTAAGACTAACTGAAGCAATATCAAGATGAAATTTTCTAACTGACATTTGTGATCATTAACTAAATTGTTAAAATACTTTCACAGATAGGTTTTAAGGGTCTCACATAAATGTATATGATAAAACGTGCGTTCAACACAAACTTATGTTGATATTTGAATGACAGAAATAACATCATCTAATATTAGTAATCTTATTTTTGTTGCAATTGTTTTTTACCTGTTTAATGTAATTACAGATTCGATGGTTAATCTCGCTTATGAAATTATTGTTAATCAATACAATTAGAATACACCAACTCAATACTATTATGTTGTTGTTTTTTAAATACTGTTTCGCTGCTTTTTCTATTAAAATAAATAAGAAAGATTAGTTAAAATAGTGAAGAGACTTGATTAGCAATGACACATTTATATGACAGCTACAAATGTGTATCTGCTATTGCTTTCGTAGCTGATATTTGTGTTAGAGAGTTTATTGAGTAATACAAATAGTAGAAATGAGAGTTAGAGATCTGACTATGATTTAACTAAATTAAACACTAGAGAATTTGGATTACAAAAATGAGTCTAATATTTAATGTGGATAGTTGTTCTTTTGTTAGCGCAAAGCTACACAGTGAGCGTGGCATTGAACCTCACATTTTAGCGTTATAAGTCTGTAAACTTACCGCTGATCCACCGAAGAACGGAGAGATATAATAATATTACGTTACTGAGAATAACAAAAAATTATTTAATTTTTAGTTGTAATATTATATCAACAAAGAATAAATACTAAATAAAACTACTAAATTCTTCAGCTTCTGATGACACTCACAATACGTTTATCTGCTTATAAAATAACACCTTGCTGCATCCATCTTTCGTTACAAATATGTAACTGGGAAACAACTGCGAAAGAAAGAAATAATATTACAGTTTATACCAATATCTATCAAGATAATGACTTGATAATTTCAATGATAAATATATTGCATGGATTTGCCCTTTAACCGAAACATTACTTTTTAATTAATGGAATCTCAAGGCATTTGAAAACTCTTTCAGCAGAGACTGATAACAAACAAACAAATAAATATGTACATGTTTCAAGATTAATATTGGAATTAATATTAACTAAAATATAGGAAATATCTTGATAAAACAATGTGAATGTATATATTTTGTTAGCGCTTTAATAATTTGAAACACTCTTAATTAAACAATCAATTTTTAAATTTATCGATATTTTTTCAAGAATAATGTGTGAAGAATATCCCTCTGCTTTTTGTTTTTAGAAATTGTTTGTATAAATAATTTATATTGATGATAATAATTACCAGATATAATGATTATTTTGTCTAACAAATCAACAACTGAGATACAGTTACGGATCAAAGGGTAAAACAGGAATAAATCAGATAAAAACATATTTTCAAGGAACGAAGTCCTTCCAAGCTTTTGGTTCTTTAGATAATGACCTCGGTGGCTCAGTGGTTAGTCTTAGGACAAAAAACGTTAAAAGTTATGTTTCGATACTCCCAGTCCTTCAAAAGAAACAAACAAACTTTAGACAATATATTTATTTAGTAAAAAAGTGAACATTCTAAGAGCAACAAAATATATATATTCTATATACTTTTCTTTACTTATCCTTACATAATGTTTTTTTATGTAATAAAATAATCTACAATCTAAAAAATATATATTTTGACTTGTAACGTTAGAAAGGACGAAACTTGTCAGCAACATCAACTTATATTTGAAATGAAGAAGATTTAATAAGTTTGATAAAAGTAATCGTTAGCTTAATGTGATCTTTTGTTTTAAAAATAAAGACAAATTTTCAACGAACTGCGACATACGTAAATACATATATAAGAAGTAATTCACTTAGCAAATTTGCCCATATTACATATAAGGAAATAAATATTTATTTAGCTATATTTATGGGTAAAATTATCAAGAGTGTTACTGATATAATTTGAAAATTATAATCTCATCAGCTGAGTCAGGCATAACAAATAATGACTGAGTCAATCATTAACTAGATATTAGTATCTAATTTAGCCCACTATCGTGTAGAATATATAGGTGTTTTTTCAATCATACCTGTCAAGTATTTTAGAGATAATAAAATGTATTACTCATAAATATTTTGGCACTAAAGCCCCACTTTGTTTTTCCATTTTAGTGTAAATCGTGTTAAGATTATGTTAACAAGTTTATTTCATAAAACATACATTTGGTACTTTTTTAGCCACTTTACCATTCTTCATAGTACATAAAATCTTCCTCTTCATTTGATATTTCTGATAAAAGAAAAAAATAAATAACATAAATACTAAATATAAATTGTTTTACCAACATAATAGTAAAAATTCGTTACGTTTAAAATCACAAGGTCAATTTTATTTTATGAAAACATCTTTCATTATATATTAACATTTCGTGTCAGATACCTCTTCCTGAAATAAAAACTGAATTATTTACTTAACTATAGAATTAAAGTTTAAGAAGATTGTTATGTATTTTATTTGTAATAAGAAAATAACGATTAATAGGATATTTTATGCAGAATATACACGGACTTTTCTCTACGTTAAAATACTTTTCTTTTATTTGCAATCTTTCGGCCCTCTTACCGGAGCCGGCAACAATGTACCCGATGAAGGCTCCGGTAACAGGGCCGAAAGCTCGCAAATAAAGGAAAAGTATTTTATCGTAGAGAAAACTTAATGTATAATTCTACATAATAATTTGATTGTGCTCTGCCCACCACGAGCATCGAAACGCTGATCTAGCGTTGTAAGTCTGCAGACATACCGCTGTTCTACTGGGGGGTCTTGTTTTTTAAAACTCATAACGCAAATAAACCTATTATGCTTAACTTCAAATGAACAAATAATTAAAAAACAAGGATTTTTGTATTACTGTATTCTATAATGGTAAACGCATAGACCAAAGGCTCATATTTTTATACTAATATTTAAAGAAATGGTATTACAAAAGTGGTATTTCAAATTATATGTTTAATTTCTGTGTATAAAAAAATAGAACTTCCTATTCATAACCATCGTAATTACGTACAAGAGGCTGTTAAATATAAACAGTAAACAAAGCAAACTATGTAAGGAATAAAGAGCAATAATTCTCATAATAATTTGTCCTTTTCTCATATTTTGTGAACCAAATCCATACAGAAATATGCTCCTCATGTTTTGGTTTTTCCTTAAGAAAGTACACTTTGTGATGTTCCACTGTAGGGCATTCTAATACATTCAAGTTTTAAGAAACTTTAGATTGCCCATTTTGTGAAATGAGCAAGAAATCATTGTTTGAAATACACAAAGATCACTGGATTTTAGGTAGGTCACATTTAAACACGTAGACTTTGAAGTTATATAATAGAATCCTAATAAATTGGGCATTGCTGTTTCGGTATCTATATCTTATTAATTAATATTTTTGTTTTTTAAATTAGTGCAGTAATATATGTATTATAATGAACTGTTCATTTGATTTAGAAATAGCTATTTAGATAAATTAGGCTGATAGACACTGTGAACTTTTTATCAGACTTAAACTATTATTCTGTGTCCGTCAACCACTGTGCCGATTGTCACAAAATATGGCACTTATCATAAGGCCCCCTTGGCAGTGACATGGGGGAGGGGGGTTAGATCTAATCCTCCTACGCGGTCCCCTCCAGAGCTCTAAAGTCTTCCCGTGTGTTGAAAAGGTACGTCAGCTAGTATATAACATTTAAATCAGACAAAATATGAATACATTTTTTTTATAAGATGTTGTTTTTGTTAAGCACATAGCTATACAATGAGCTATCTGTGTTCTGCCCACCACGAGTATCGTAACCCAGTTTCTAGCGCTGTAAGTCCATATGCAGATCGCTGTGCCACTGGGGAGTTGTTTTATGGAAACTGTTTAAGAGGTTAACACAGTAGCCTAATGTAACACGACTGTCCTGCCAGTCAGAAACATAGCAATTTCTTTTTTCTTATCATCAAATAGAATTTATAATTAACTCATTTAATTTTACCCCATCAATTTTCCTATTCTAATGTTACTTAAATTATATAAGTCATTCGAAGACACTTCAGAAATATGAGTTATTTAAATTGAAAACATAACAGAAACAGTTTTAAAATATATCAGACGTTTCTAGATTTGTAATGAATATTTTCTTACTTATGAAAGTTACAAAAAATTTAAGTTATGTTTATATTAGTTTTACGTTTTTCGCTATAACTAGTTTTGAGTAACGATTACATTTATATATTTTATTTATACAGAGTAATACTAGACAAGGCGTTTTACTGACGAAATAAATACTTTATTATTGTTTTAAAATTGGCAGTAATCCATATGAGCCCTCTAACTAAGATGAAGTCAATGATGCACTATTTATTCTAAATTAGTGATTTCCAACTGTGGGGGGCGCTCCCTGGGGTTTGTGGCTTGTACTGTTTCTGAAGAGGCTCGGATTTTTGGCGGGAAAGCCGACAAATAACGACGGAAGAAACAAAGGAGTTGGAGTCGACGATGACCTAACAAAACTTTCACTTTGCTCTCAAAGCTTTTTGTTGTTGTTGTTGTTGCTTTCTTATTTACTCAATCCTGACAAACATTTTTTCATTTAACAAATTATTAAAAACAATTAAAGAAAATGTTGGTTTTGCTGTTATCACTTGCGACAATTATTTTAATGTGAAGGTGGGGCGCAATAGAAGCTTTGCTGGGTTAGCGGACGCCGCTACATTAAAAAACACTGCTCTTAATAATTCACTAACCTTAGATATACCGTAGTTCATGCTCACATGATGATATCTTTAAATATACATGACATTTTTTTTATTTTCTATACGAATATACTATATCATCGTTCGTAGAAAATATTTTGAATCAGTAGTGCAGAGATTATTTGGTTATTGATTTGTCTTGCTTTTAAAGAATACCTTGTTAATCTCTATAGGATAAATTTCATTCATAAGCCATAAATAGTGCTTATGGAAATAATAACAAACAAACAACTTTTCATTTATTTATGATTGTCTAACAATCTCGTTACATTTTGGAAATGATGTAAAATAAGTTATACCACTATGAAAATAATTCTCTGATGAGGAGAAAGTATTTATGTTCTAAGGCAGAATATACGTTGTGAATTTAAATATATGATGCAGTTCCTTTTATGTTTTAACGTTTTATGAAACAATATCTTTATTTTCAAAAGTTTACAAGAATCAAATAACAAGTGGCAAATTGGTGCTGGTTTCACTTGTAATGGTTGCAATATCTCAGTCTTGTATGAGGTAATACTCATTCAGTACTGCCAACTTGGTGCTATTTTCACTTGTAATGGTTGCAATATCTGTTTTGTATGAGGTAATACTCATTCAGTACTGCCAAAGAGTTTGCAGAGAACTTACTGTTCATCCATTTTTTTGAAATCTAAACTTGCGTGTTATTAGGGACTAGTGGCTTTATAAGCTAAAGTGCTTCTGAATTAAAGCTTTCATAACGTATTTAGTTAAATATGAAATCTGTTCCAAGTAAGCGCATCAATTAACTCGGTTGTTATTATTCATTGGAGGTCGTTAAACGTCAAATATTTCTTTCTTGATAAACAACTGTTGGGTCTGATCCTCAGATATTTAAAACTAGTATCTTAAGATATTACATTTTTATGTGAAAGTAAAATCGCGTTACATTACTATATTGCACTGGCTTAAGTATATAATGCCCGAGACCTAAATACTTAGCGTTAATTTCCTTGTTTTGGTTTAACGACCGAAAGTATCTGGATGGGTGCGGCTGCTAAGACGAATTGTAAGAAAAGAAAGAGATAGAGATAAATAAATAAATAAAGATAAAACTTAAAGCCCAATTTAACAAATTCTTGAGCTGAATAACCAGTATTAATCGTCAGCAGGCCCCCCCCTCACACACACACACACACACACACTTGCTTTGCCTCCATTGGTTTCAATATCGATCTAAATATGTAAACGTCTATTTTTTTTTTAGTAGTTGAAAAGTACGTATTCAAGTTTCTCTCTTTCATTATACCCTACCTTACACTGCTGGTTAATCACCTTTTGTAATGTTTCGTGTTTCTCCAATTATACTTTCCGTATTGTTTGTCACGGTTGCCTTCGACTTTATGTTTAGAACCTCTACAGCTCAGCCATGCTAATGGAAACGCTTAGATTGTTTTGGTTTGTTTCTCGATGATTATAGAGCAAATGAAAAGAATTCTAGCATTCACTAGAGTAGGCGAAGTTCCGTTGTGATAGAAACTCATTTGACCATAAATACGAATGCAGTGCATATCAGTACAAGTAAACTGAAACGTAACTAGGGAGTAGTGGAGAAAGAATATAAAACGAACAAATGAACATAGTAATCGAAGGCGACCTTGCGTTTATAATTCTGATAATCTAGAATATTGTTTGAATAGCACTACCAAAACAACGAGTAAACATATTATTGATTAGTAAACCCTACAACTCAGTGAGATCAATGTTAAATCTGCGTTATTATGCAATAAGGTCGGTGTAACTATGCTAATAAAATTATCTTTTTTTTTATTTTGAAAACAGAAGAAAAAATGTTATGCTTCAACTAGTGTCCGTAAAAGCGTAAAATAGGTATCAGAGTTGGGAACATTTCTGTCCCTACCTAAAAGCTCAATTTTGACAATATTTGGATATTGTATACCTAAAGACATATATAAGTGAAAGTCCCGGTAAGTTTTGTCGCAAATAAAATGTCTAACCTACGGATTTCTGGTAGGAAATAGTTTGTTTGTGTTTAAAAGCAAATCAGCTCAATGGGATATCTGCACTATGCCCACTACAGGTATCGAAATCCAACTTTTAGCGTTATAGGCCATCAAACTAACCACCGAGGCACTGAGAAATGTTTCTTCAATCTGGCTTGTGCCTTGACAACAGAACCAGTCAGCTCCATATTGACAACAAGTTTCATTTGTTTCTTCAGTGCTAGTCTCCAGTCTACATATTATTGTTGACTATCTGTAAATACACAAAACACACATCTACAAAAACTTGCTCGGGATTCACATTTCTATGTATATATATCCAAATATCGCCCAAATCGGATAATATTTCGGCTGGAACGTAATTCTGCCCCACAGTGTATAATGAATGAGTTACTCTTATAGATATTTATAACTGCATATTTAATTGGATTACTTCAGTTAATACCTATGAGGCTATAAAAAAATAATAATAATAAAGAACACGAATAATGTACATTTAGAGAAAAAGCTGACGTTTTAATTAAATGTTAAAAATGAATTTTCTAATGATGCGGAACATAAGTTTAGGAAGTTAGAAAAAAAAAGTGGTCAACAGCGCATGAGTAGTGACATTCTCTATGTATTATAAAACTTAGGGAGAAAAATTATGATTCGTAGTTTTTCAGATTTAGAAGATTTGACGAACAAGTACAAATTTAGCGTAAGTATTACTACTTATAAATTTATCGTAATTTAAAAATTGCATTATAATTGGAAAACCAACGTTAGGATGTTCTATAGGAAAAGTTAAAGGCACTGTTTGTGATATATGGAAAATAATGTAGTGTTAAAATCTGAACTTTAGTTTTAAAGACTTGTTATTATGTTCCCTTTTTTGTGACAACTGTTCATAAATAGTATTCACTCATTTCTTAACTAGACAAATGTTCATGTAATCTTAACTGGTCTAAAAAATCAAACAACTTATCTGTTAAAAATCATTACAATAGAACATACTATTTATTGAATAACTTTTACAGAGTGTAAGCTTAAGAGGTCAGTTGTCGTTCGCAATTTTTCTTTGAATTACAGAGACCCATTGTTTGTTTATTCAATAACTAGTTGGAGTACCCGTCCCATGGACGGAAGTTATGTAAATTCAGTTGCTCCCTCTTACATGTAATTGAAAAAAAAACGCCCATAAAAAGTGCAAAACACAAAATTTGAAAACGCAAATATGTATGTATATCCGCATGGACCAAATGAACTTCCATACCAAACTTGGTGAAGTTTCATCAACAGGCTGCGAAGTAGTGGTATGAAATTCAAAAATGCAAAAAACGCCCATAAAAACCGCAAAATGCAAAACTGAAAATTCGTATGCACCTCCGCCTGGACCGAATGAACACCCATACCAATTTTGGTGAAGATTCATCCACACCCTGCGAAGTAGTTATATGGACATACAACAGACAGTACTATTACATTTGTATAGATACAACTGCTGGTACGTTATCTATAAAGTCAATAATTGCAGCAAATAAACTAGGTTGTTTATACTCAAGCAAAATATTACGTCGAAAAACCTTGACACTATTTTTCTCTACAACTTGACTCATACAGATAGGCGTGGCTATCACAAGTATAGATAATCAGACAACAAAATTATTATTATTATAGTAACTTATCAAACCTAGAAGTATTTAAAAGGAGTTAAACGCTTAGTGAAGAAACCCATAGATATATCAAACCCATACACTTCCTAACAAATCCCTTTGTGCTTTTTTTGTAAGAGCTTATTTCTCTTTATATTTTTTAATCGTTCTTTTAAGGTATTTTTTTATCTAAATACTTTTGGGAACGTTTTCATCTACACCATACGTATTTGCTGAAAAGAAAAGACAAATTTTGTCACGAAACAAAACCTCCTTCGTTGACTCACAAATCTTTCATTAAAAAAATTAAAAACCTCTTTTACTTGAAATGTAATAACTTAACCGTTACATATTCTGGTGTTTTTTAATTCGTTATTAAACATTCACGGTCTTTAACCTTGACAAGACAAACATTAGTAGTTCTAAAACAACAGAGACGATAAATTCTTGTGACTGTTCAAGTTTATATTAAACACAATGTCTTTCTTGAATGTATGAAATTTGTTTATAAAAATATTTTCCGTTACTTTTATATTCGAGGAAAATATTGAAAGAACTTTATGATGAAAATACATTTCGAAAAATTCGAATATCAAAACAAAGTACAAACTTATTTTTTTTGTTTTGTTTCGACATTTTGTTTGAATTATCCAGTTGAAAATTAAAAAGAATACTGTCGCTTTTTGTCATAATATGAAGTTTTAACTTTTATATAATTAATCTTTCAATGCCCTGCTTAGGTTCTAAACATGCATGTTGCACGTAGCGTCACAGCACACACACAGGCATTAAAAATAAAATAAAACTCACTTTATGGCAACGGTCTGTATATAACGATGCATCATTGAAGACGTACGCCACGGAGCCACGAGCGACATATTTAGAACTTAAGTTTCACAATTAAGTTCCCAGCAATTCAATATTGCAATTCCGCTACGGATTCCTTGGCTTATGAAAAGCTATTGTTGTGATTAAGGCTTTTTATGATATCTCAACACACTGAATTTAAATTTTAATATATTAGTATTTGACACACAAACGGACGGTTAAAGTTGAAATCAAAACCTGAATAGGCTTGGTTGTGAAAGTTTTTACGTAAGAAGATTGTTTGTTGGATTTCACGCAAAGCTACTCGAGGGCTATCTGTGCTAGCCGTCCCTAATTTAGAAGTGATAGATTAGAGGAAAGGGACCTAGTAAACACTACCCATTGCCAAATCTTGGGCTACTCTAATAGAATAACGGGACTTACTGTCACATTAGGATGCCCCACACCTGAAAGGGTGAGCATGTTCGATGATAGATTTCGAACCCATCACCTGTGGAAAGCGAGTGGAGCGCCGTAACTACAAGGAATTTCTTTGTATCTCTGCCTGTAGATCTAGAATATATTTCAACCTATATTTTGAATCTTTTTTAAAATGGCAAATTTAATATACAGTTCTGATGGCTTTTCACGAGTTCTAAGTTGAATCTTTGTTCATTCAAATATACTATAACTGTTTTGCCAACAGTTTACCGTTATCAGTTTGTCCCCAGTGGATCAGCGGTAAGTCTGCAGGCTTACGATGTTAAAATATGGGTTTCGATACACGTGGTGGGCAGAGCACAGATATCCCACTGTGTAGCTTTGAAATGAAACCGCTATCAGTTATAAATGCATCTGTAATTTTATGAGTATGTTTATACTTTTTGTCACTACAACCAAGAAAGGAAATATATTGTTGAAAGGGGAAGTATTCGTACACCTCATTAGCTAGTTATAGATGATGTGCTACTCCTCTCCCGAGACAATGTTTTCGTATTACACCCGTATGTGTGTGTGTGAACAGTATAACTCGAAAGGTATTCATCTGATTTTGACACAAGATGTGACACAAAGGTGTCGTACAAGGACCAGTTGTTTATCTTTTGGTGAATATAATTCAAAGGTTAACCAGTTTCGTTATAATGGTAACAAGTTGAACAAATTGAAATAAGATGATCTTGGCACATAGATCTAAATTTCTAATTGTGAGGAATTGTTCAGTGTATGTTCTAAGTTGGCTACTGCAAGACACGAAAACTTTGCTATGGGTTTGCACTCTCTCACTGCCTTTTTAGTTCTGTTTTTGTTAGCCTACAAACCAAAGGAAACGATAAATGAGTTCTTTGTACGTGTTAATGATTTTACGATTTTACTTAAAAATTGGAGCTCAAAAACTAAAGCAACCTTTTGCTTATAACGGCCGTTTTATGTATGAGGTGTTATCTGTGTATGTATGTATATACTAGAATTGTCCGTCTCTCTCTGCTGTTTCCATTTGTTGTAAAGAAATGGCCAAACCATTTTTGATGAGATTTGGTAGATAAACTAAGGCAAACTTCTTAAAGATCGAGTTTCAATAAATAAGAATTTGTACGTTACTTTTTGAGCCAGATATTGTTGCATATTTTTGAAAGTCCTAATACATCTTAAGTTATTATCTTTGATCATTTACATTAGAGTGAGAATATGTTTTAAACATGCGTTTTAAAACAACGATATATATAAACTTTTTGATTCGCGGTAGTACCTCCACCCAAATTACATTAAAGATTAGAATAAAGGACAGAGTCAAATATAAAATATGGATTCAACTATTCTTGACTGTTTTCATAACCACACTTCGTGGAAAAACTGAGATATAATCATTGCTAAACTAGATGTACTTCCGCGGGGTCTTCGAAAGTGTTCTGTTCCAAGAATAAATAAAACCAAAATTAAGAGTAACAATTATTTCTATTTATTGCTGTGTTGTAGCCTACAGAGTGCAAAATTCTTCTCGTGAAGTCTTCTTATGTGACGTCATTTTGTTGTCAACTGATTGACTGACAGACAACACACTGCTGTATAGTAGCGCGAATGGTTAAAACAGAAGACTCCTTCATGCGGCCTTCGGTCCTCTTTCAGGAAAACTAGTTATTTGAATGTTATTCTACTTTGGAACTAGAACATCTAATACTGATTACAAAACAATAACAACAAAGAACAAACAACTGTTTATATACAGTAAGTTCAGTAGTTAGTGAGAAAATATGAAAAGTATCGTTCTTGTTCTCCTTATTGATGAAGCAAAATAGACAGTAATAACAAAGATGATATGTGCATTACTTTCGGTTAGCGTCGGTTTCACGTATTTTACCAGAGCTCTTTTTTCACGTACTGGGTGTCACAGTCGAACCTATTGTCCAATTGCTTAATTCATTTCAATTAGATCTTGGAGGGGACTACTCAAGCACCTCTACCAAATTTCAACGATATTAGTCAAGACAGTTCCTCACAAAAATTTGTGACAAACACAGATAGACGTACAACTCTGCTTTATATATTATAAATGCATATATACATACATACATGCATACATATGAAGATATATATATATACTTATATAGCTGTACCATAATACAGAATACTTTTTCAGTGCTCCCCAATGGCTCAGCGGTAAGTCTGTGGACTTATAACACTTAAAATCGGATTTCGTTACCCGTGAGAGTCCATTGTGTAGCTTTGTGCTTAGCTACAAATAAACTTTA